AAAAAGAAAAGTCAAGGTCTCGTTATTTCTTTTTATTTATTTCTGTCAATAAACTTCAGGCAGACAGCCAGCACTGCCATTAAACAGTCTGTCCTGACTCAGGGCAAAGGGATTCTCTGTCTGCTCACTCCACCGAATAATTTGGTTGTGGAAAAACTGCTATAATAATGCACCCGGCTCTGCTGTCAGGAAACACTTCGGAAAATTGCAAACAAGGGAAAGGATGGCAACAAAAACTGGGAAGGAGAATATTTCAGTTCTACTCTGCGTGCCATGACAGTGAGTATGAATTTCTAAAAGTTTTCTTGTTTTGTCTGGTGCATGTCTTGCTGATTACACACACACATAATGTATACTGTATATGACATGTGTACAAACAGAAATAATCAGACTCTACTGATAATCTGGAGAACAAAATTAATATGACATAATGCATTTAACAATGTTTCAGGCAATAAGTGTTGCTGTAGCAGCTTTATATTCAACAAAACAATCTTGTTATGAAAAATATTAGAGAAGACCTTACACTAATTACAGATGGTTTACATATAACTTTAAAGTTGGACAATACATCATATAAACATCCAACAAGGCTTTGTTATTGTTTTTTAAAACTTTATGAAAGTGTTTTTAATAGGAAGCAGTTAAGCATTTGGCAGTAAACAAAAGAAGAGCAATACACTGTATACCCAAGTATTTGCTGGCCAGAAAATATCGTTTATTAAAAATACATGTCATTGTTCCTTTTTGAACTGCTTTCTCTATAGCTAAAGGTTCGTACTGTACACTTTGAACAAATTTGATGGCTTCTGTGATACTGAATAACTCACGATGGATGCTACTGTAGGATCAAGAAGATATGATATTAATACAGTATGAGCTGTTGAAAAAAAAATCATTAGTAAAGTGCACAGAAGGGGGCTCTTTCACCAAACCCGAAGGCTTTTGTTCCTTGGATTTGTTTTCCCACAACTGCCTGACTTTTACAGGCAAAGGGAAAACAGGCAAAGCTGAAAGACGTGCATTACAACACTCCCCACTGTAGGGCGAATGAGCTGTTTACACGGTGCTAGCTCACAAATCGATAGGACTGTCTCACAGAGCACCGCTTCTGTTAATCCCACGACAGGTACCCGTCACGGACTGTGGAATCACGTGCTAAATTGTGGCCCTCTTCACGGATTGTGGAACCACGTGTTCAATGTAAAAAAAAACAGCGTAAGTAGGTGTCCCGCCCCACCCTCCCAAAAAAACCTGCCGAAATTTTTAACAATGGAGGTAGACGTTGGTTACAGGTAATGAGTTTGCTTAGTTTTAATATAGCTTTCAGAATTAAGTTCCTTTATATCTAAGTTTTAATTGATTAGGCTCCAGAATTATTTATATATATAAATTGTGATAAATCTTAAACAGAAATAAATTAAAGGTTATTTAAATGTTAACATTCGTAAACTCGACCTTAATTTTCCGATGTTGGGACCAACACTTCTGACATAGCTGAAATTCCATTTTTATTGCCCAGTTAAGTATTTCTAGAGGTGTCCAGATGTTTTTACGTAACTGAATGTAATTATTCTTTGTATTTGTTCATTCAGTATTTTATTTATAAAAAGGTATACATTAATATAGGAAGCTGGACTCGCTAAACAAATATATTCTGATAGTTTGTAGTTAATGACGAGCCACGCACTGATGGCTTCCAAATCAGACTAATTAAATAAGGTATGTCTTATTTTAAAAGTTTAAATGCACAAAAAACACGTTTACTGCAAGAAAAAGTAGTCACGTTTTACATTTTAAAGTATTTTAGTAAGTATATGGAGAGTTAATTAAGAATGGTACATTATAAACTAGTGAAGGTTAGCTACAGTAAGTGTTATGCTGGTTAGAAGACATGTGATTTAAAAATGAGTCATTTCAGAGTTCATGTGATTGAAAAAGCCCTATAAATTTGAAGCCGTTCTGGTTTTATTCTAATATTGAACAGAAGGACTAAGGCAAGTCAGTTTTTTTACATAATATCGCTTTTGTAAATATTTGTAAAACTTTCTGTAAGAAATGTAAGTCGAAAGTTTACGTTTATCCTGTGAAGTGGGTTTAGTTACTGTGATTCTTAAGGTTTAGCAATTGGAATTACGATAGTTTTTACGTTTAGTTTCGAAGTGATTACGGTGTTTTTGTGTGTGACACAACGTGTTCACTTAAAGTTTAAGGAACTACGAAAAAACTTTGAATATCAACCTTAACAATTATCACTTCTGTTTTTACACATTCGTTTTTGTTATATTTTTGTTTCTCCAAATGTTTGTGTTCGACTCAGATTGTAAAATCCGTTTTCTTAGCACAGCTCTCTAATAACGCGTTAAAAATATTTTTAAAATTCAGCAGTAAAACCAAGAGATGAACAATTTACATATTTTAAACAAATAAAACTCAAAATGAAGAAATCTTCTAAAGACAGCATTTCATGCCACTATCTGTTGTTGACAGTAGTTTTATTATTCAGGATAATTTAATTGCGTTGGCATCAGTATACAGTAAATAATCTCTACAGTAGTTAATACTGTATGTGCAGCCCAAACGGTGCCTTTTCTAGGGACCAGGTGTACATACAGTATGTAGTTTTAATATTTAAATTTTGTTCATGCATATGTATTTACTATGTGAAACAAACGCTGACTTGGAACGATGTCATTGAAGGGTTTTCAGTTTACTATTGCAACTAACTGGATTGATCTTTCTAATAAAAGGTTTTATGATTGTATTAAATATGCGTTGTTGGCTCATTCACAGACCGGAATTAAAAACAAATAACAGCCTACAGCTGTATGAAAATGGCGGAGAATTACTACAGTACTTTCTAAGGAATATTAAGACAATATTAAGAGCCCTTTTATTGCTACAGTACTGTACTGTAAAATGTATAATGCTGATGTTGCATCAGTAGTGTAATTTTAGATTTGATTCTGTTGTGATCAAATTAGATTATTTGTGTTGTAAGCAACATCTTCACTCAAGTTTGTTACTGAACAATATAAAAATGCTGGAATGCATTTTTAGTTCTTTTATGTTTAGAATGACCCAAGGATTTCTGACTTCTTACTCTTGTGTATTTGCACACATGCACATAAGCATCAATGCATGTCGACCAGTGTCTCAGACCTTTGTAATCCATTTATAGGGTAGTTTTGTAATGTGAGTGTTAAATGCTGCATTTCATTTTATAACCATATTTTGCATAGTATGTGAGCTTAGTTTTTTAGTTTGTTTGCAAGCTGTTAGATATTAAATTGGATTTCCTCATCCTTATTGTGTAATGTAATATCTCTTCCTAATCCTTCAGGACGGTAGAGTGTTTTGAAAGGCAGAAGGGAGGTTAGAACCTTATTATTGCTCTCCCGGCTCCCTGGGGAGATAATTCATGCTGTGTCTTTAAACAGATGAACATGGATAGGAAAGGAAGTAGATAGAGTTCTGATACATGCTTTTTCTAAAACCTATTATAAGTGGTTATTGGTTGTCAGTATAGATCAGTTGCAGTACGTTTTGTTAAAGCAAAACTACAGTATATCACTGTTTTTCATTTGTTCTGTATGTGTAGCACACTTTTACTTTAATATTTCACAAATAAGACTTTGATTCATACAGTGTGAAAACTAAATTTCTTCAAATGGCAATCATTTTCATAAACATGCAGTATTCCTGAAATATTTTTTTTCCTGAAGCAGAAATCTGTCATTCTAAATGTGCAGGGTTTATGTGTAACGTAAGAGTTTTCTTATAAAACAGTGCTGTATGCAATGCATGTTTTCAAATTTTTAAGATGTTCTTTTTTTCTTATTTGTCTTTTGTCATAGTGAGACACTGCCGGGGCCTTCTCCTGAACTATGTCTGCCTGTCGGTGACCGAGAATCCCTTGAATACATAATGCAAGCCATCCAGACAATTGAAAAGCAGGTCCCCGCTCTGAGAGAGAGCTTTTTCCGAACTCCTTTCAAAGACAGGAGAAAGAGCAGCTCGCTGAGCCTGGGGAAGCAGCACTATTGTCAGCTGCAGCAGGAACAGAAGCAGCCGGGGGAAGGAGCTGTCTGCAGACAGGAGTGCTGCACTGAGCATGTCCCTGAGGAGCAGGCAGCAAGCAGCCCATTATGCAGAACAGCAGCTCTAGCAGATGGGGGAGAGCACGCACAGGCGTTTGTTTCCTTTGCATCCGCATCATCACCGCTCTCGTCACCGGAAAGCAAGCCCGGATTACTGAGCAGGATCTCGCCGAGAGGCAAAGCAAAGAGCATCCATCAGCATGGCTTGATTGCGAAAGGAGTCCGCTTGCTGATAAACATGGGGAATCAGGATGGGAAGCTGAAAAGGGCAGCCGGGGAAAGCAGTGAAGCCACAGAAGAAGCTGGGGGGCCCAGGGAGGTGGAACACACAAAGAAAGGATTGCACGGTAAAAAGGCACATGGCAAACATGGCAAAGGGGGAGATTCCAGCAAGAAGAAATCCAAATCGGAATCTAAAGCATCCGTGTTTTCAAACATCAGGCTCCGTAAGAACCTGTCCAAGGCGAAGGGGTTGTCAGGGGGCTCCAAAGAGGATGTTTTGGAGACCCAGGCCTCTCAGCAAGATGAGCTGGACAGTGCGCTCTCTATCCAAACCAAAACCCCCGATATCAGCCTTTCCGCAGACGAGCTGGGCCTGTCGGATACAGAAGCTGAGCGGTTCCACCTCACGATGGAGAGCCGACAGGCAACCGTGGAAACCCAGGAGGGACAAAGGGCTAGCTCTGGCTCCGATACGGATATCTATAGTTTCCACTCTGCTGCAGAACAAGAGGATTTGCTTTCTGATATCCAGCATACTATTAGGATGCAGCAGGGGGTTATTATTTCAGCCGCTGAGGAGCCAAGCTGGATAGCTGAGTATAAACATGCGGGTGATGTTAAAACAACCCCCCCTGACTCTGAGCACGTTGCAGACCAGGAAGCTGCCTTTAACTGGGAGAATGGCCATGTTGGCGAGCTGCATGTTTCTCTGGACAGCGCAAGGCAAGAAAGTAATTTAACTGCAGACGTGCAAAACGGTTTAAGTGAGGCTTCAAGCAAATCTGAGAAATCCTTTTGTACTTCGCCTGGGACAAAAGAACACAAGCCCCCGAGCGAGAGCGCACAGCCTCCTGCAGAGGCGAGCGGAGGGAGAGGTGGGAGCCCTGTTGTCACGGCAACAACCGCCAACAGCGTCCCTGACCTGACCGCCTCGTTTGAAAGTGTAGAGGGGCCTGAAGAAGAGGAGGCCAAGGTGGATATTTCATCTCTCCTAAAGGAAAGTCGCGCTGAACTAGATGGGAGCCATGAAGCAGCCCTTGATTCCTCAGATGGGACTGTTGATGGCAGGGAGGAATTAACTGAATCGCTGGAACATACTTGCAGCTTGGAACTAAAAGCAGAAGGTGATGACGAAGACCCTACTGTGCCACATAGAAAAAGCAGCGTGCCCTTTTCTCAGTGGCACCCTGAAAGTCCCTTAAGTCGGTTGTTGAGGACAAGTTTGACTTCCACATCCTCCCCAACTGTCAAGCCTTACCCTCCAATTCACCCCTCTTACATCAAAACAACAACAAGACAGCTCAGCTCCCCGAACCATTCTCCGGGACCCTCGCCGTCCCAGAGTCCCTTGTTTCGGAGGCGGTACTGCGACCTCGGCCACAGGCCCGACAGGCGGAGAGTCAAGAAGCAGAGGTCCTCGAGCATAACTGGGCCGCTCAGCCGCTCGGCGGACTGGACTGATGAGCTGTCCAAATTTAGGTCCAACAAGACGGGTTCGGCAGATTACCTGGAGTATGGGGGATCAGAAGAGAGGCTCAGAGGAGGCAGCCAGCCCTTGTGCGTTACTCGCAAGTCGTCTGGGGTCCAGGCTTCCACCTGTAGCTTCCATGATGTCTTTACTGGTGAGTTTGATTTGTACAGTTTGCTCCACCGCATGAAGTTAAAATAACTGGGTATACAGTATGCTTTATTAGTTTCTTCACATCCTTTGTTTTTATCAACTCGGTAACATACCTGAAATAGCAACTACTGTATCGCACTGGAGAAGATTGTTACAGTGCCATCTGACATCATTCATACGCCGTACCTGTAGGCAGAATTGCTGAAAAAGAAAATTCTTGGGTTTTCTCTAGCGATGTCATGTGAAAGGTGTTTTCTGTGTGCAATACATGCAATAATAAACCTTATTTTATATAGCGCCTTCAAAGGTGGCTTCTCAAAGCGCTTTACACAACAGCAGCAGGAGACAGTAGACGGGGGTACTGAATACAGCAGGAGCAGAGGGGTAAATAACAGAACCGGTTAAGTAAAGGCCCTTCTAAAGAAGAAGCTTTTGAATGTAGATGTGAAAGAGTTTAGTTTAGCAATGCATTCATGTTGTGCATACAATTTGTCAGAATCTAGATAACGCTTTTCAAAGATAATCCCTTTGACATGTAGTTCCACAGTGTTTCTTGAATCAATACAGTGGATTGACCTTTCCTCTTTCACCCTGCATTGCACCTTCCTTGTGTTAATCCCCCTTTCCTGCTCCAAGATACTGTAATTAAGGAAGGGATTCTTGGGATTTCCCCTTCCAGATAAACATGCAGCTTGCTTGTATTTACTACTCAGCTAGAGGCCAGTGTTTATTTGCTTTCCCTGGCCTGATCATGCAGAATAAAGCAGTGATTAGGAAATGCAGGGAAATATACATGTTTTTAATTTTAAAAAGCTAATAAAATGCAGTTGTTTGTAATATATGAAACCTTTGATGTTTGTTAATTGTAAGGTCTGGTGGAGGTAGTGGAAAAAACACAAGGATAAAGACATGCTTTAAGTCTGCAGAAATGTTCTTATTATTTCAGCTTAATTTTAATATTTATTAGAAAAGATATATGACAAAGCTGAATCTTTTTTTCTCACATAATTTCTATGGTTTTCTGTTTTGGGGGGCTCCTGTACTACAAAACCGCCTGCTCAGCAAGCTTTGCTTCTGGGTTTCTGTACTAAACATTTTCCTTTTTAGTAGAGTAGTAGCTCTCTTTTCTGTTTGGTTACTTGTGGAAATTCATGTCTAGAAAGTACATTTGACTCTGCCAACAGTGCAAAATAAAAATTGGTACTTACACATCCTATACATGATTTCTGCTCTGATCTAGTGGAATATTTATTTCACTTGAAAACCCTGAAGGCCTAATACAAAATCAAATGAATGTGCCCTCTCTAAGTTGTAGTGTAGAGTCTATGGACTCATAATTAGTGGGCTGTGAGCTCAAGTCAAAGACAAAGTGAGGAGACGGACAACCCATTACTTCAGAATGAATAGTGAAACCGCACCAATGAGTGAGGTGGAAACTACGCGGAAGTGCATGAACTGTAAAGCAGTGAACAGGAGGCACTTCTTTACCTAAAGCGGCATGGGTGTATGGAACAAGGTACCCAGTTATGTCATAGAAGCCAGTACTCTTGACTTCATTCAAGAAATAGCTTGGTGAGGTTCTGGGATCAGTTAACCAGTAAATACCAATTGGGTAAGATGGGGCAAAAGGCCTCCTTCTCTTCGTAACCTTTGTGTCCTTCAGTCCCTCCTGTAGATACGGCTGCAGTACCTTGATTAAGGGAGTTTACCTCAGGTTCTCCAGCCCACTCAGCTCAAGGATTTGGCTCTGTGGTGGATTGGTTTGCCATCCGAGGGAATGGGGGGAGTTCACTTATTGCCGTGTAGACCAGGATAAACTCTAGGCTGGTGGGCCACTGTAGCTTGAATACCAAAATTACACGCCTACCCTCTGCAATAGCAAAAAGTTTTAGAGGTTTTAGAAAGCAATTGTCATCTTAACCCTAAGGTATAGGTTAGTCAAGTCTTGAAAAGGACAGGATTTAGTTTTTATCCTCATAAAGTTAGTAACATTGTTTTTTTTTTTCCATTTCTCATACACAATAAGAATTCCCCAGATTGCCTTACCCTAAAAATATTTTTTTTAAGTTCAGACATTATTTCAAGGCATATATGTTTTGCTCTCCCTGGAAGAAGAACTCGAGCTTGGCTTGATTACACCCAGGGGGCAGCCTCGTGATGATTTGTCACTCCAATCGATTTTGCAGTGAATCTGTAGAAAGAAAACAGCCTTGATGGGATGGATCGGCCTGAAAAGGGTATTTGTGTAAAATATTCACGTGTCCTTAAGTTGACTTAATTTATGAGATTATCCTTTGTTTTTCTTTCTTAGACTTCATGAGGTGAGTGCAAAATGTGTACATCTTGAACATTTAGAGGCATACAATATTAAAAATATTTTGCTAGTATTAGTTAAGCACTTGACAGATGTTGCTAATATAATCAGTCTTCTTGTCTTTTATACAGTATGTTCAGTACTTTTACCTTAACTGATAATGCAGTCCCCAGTTGTTTTTTTCCTTGTGGTGCACTTGCAGTGGCTGTACAATTTCATGTTGATTTGATACGATAGTCAGCAGTTTGAGATCATTGTGCCAGCTCTGCACTTAGTAGTTCTCGGCCAAGCACTGTCAAACAAGCATTGTCAGTTGTTTATTTGGGTGTGTGTTCACTATCAGAGGATATATGGGGTTTTACATTCTTTTAACTTTAGACCATACTGTATAAATTGTCAAGTTCCTCAAATGAAACATGTAAAGGAATTGATTTGAGGGAAATTGGGGGGGATAGGTGTGGCACACTAGTCCACTTAACAGATGCTTAGATACAGTGCGTGTACCTGAGTTATAGGGTGTGGCCCTGTTTAAAACTTTTTTTTCTATTACAGAGGGTAGGTGTGTGTTTTCTGTAATCAAGCTACAGTACAATGGCTCAGCAGGCCAGATCTTATCCCAGTCTCTTGTTGAAGCTACTGAAAAGATGTTCCCCCTTAAGAAAATAAGCTGTCTGATCTGGCAGTGACTTATAGAACCTGGCACTACTCCACTTGTTTTTATTTAATTACTTGTCCTGTTTACAAACATTTTACTTTACAAGTGTGTATAATTACACTGGGTCAGGATGAGCAACTTCTTATATATTGTACTGGGCTTCAAAATAATAAGCAGATGTTAATTACCTGCTAAAAAGTATGTTCAACTACAGATTAACCTCTTCTTGTTCCTATATTTGTTTATCCCATAAACATTTGGATATGTAAATCAATGTTCTAAGGATATAGTCCACAACAAATCAGGCTCTTCAGAGCCTTACTGTCACAGAATGCTATTCTATGTAGATCATCAGCCTCTAAGATTATTTTCTAAATCTATCAGAATGGTTAGTGCCTCTTATTACTATGCTGTGTGGATCTGTGTGCCTAGATTCTTTTTTCTCTTAAAAGAGTAATCCCATGAAGCCTTGCAGTAAGGCTTAGGGGCTAAATAGTGTACATTTGTGGTGACAGCCTAGTAATGCTATCCTTTGTGAAAACAATCATGTGGAGATCACAAGTATTAATGAAGAATTGAATTTTGGCTTGCATGCAGAAGAATAAGGTGGATGTTTGTGTTCTGACTTCAGAAAATGAACAATTCAGACATTGAAGATGTGTAAATTACTGTTTCATCTTGCCTCCAGCTATCAGACGTTTAGAGATGGCATCTTATTCATGCTGGCCTTATTCACTGTAACTTTTATACAGTATTAGCTAGTATTACATTTGAAGACAAATGCAGCATTTGATTTTGGTTTGATTTTAGTGTAAAATGGGAAGATCCCTTTTTATACTTATTTTTTATTTTCCTTTTCATTCCTAATTGCTACAGTATGTGATAGCCAACTGTTTTTAAATGAGACTACTGACACAACCCTTTGATTGGCTGTGACCAAAAGGCTTCTCTGTGACCAAACATGTCTCATAAAATTGAATATGCAATTTGTTTTCAAAGTAATGTAACCATTAAATTTTGCTTAGAAATAGGCTAAATTACTAGCAAAGTTTAACAAGTAAACCAGCCGAAGGTCAGATGGCCATTTGTTACCGTTACCTGTTTTGACAACCCCAAACGTGACATTCCATATTGCTCTTTCATGTTGCATATTAACACAGGAAATGCTTATTTGTAGCTGACCAAATCATAAATATTGTATAGTGCAGTCCTGCTTATGCGAGCTAATATTTATGGCTCTGAAAGGACTGCACAGTTGCCATATTATTATTATTATTATTATTATTATTATTATTATTATTATTATACCAGTCTTTACTATTGATGTAAAAACAGCTCATCCAGGTCACAGAAATAAAGTGGTACAGTAGTTTACTTTAATCGGTCTTTGAACGAGGAACATACTGCTGCAGTTATGACTCATTCCTTCAGATGCTCAGCTTACTGTAATATCTGCAATTGCTGCAGGTTTTTCTGTCTGTGACACTTTCCAAAATAATCTTTAATTTTCTGTGATCAGGTCCTTTCTAGCCTGCTGTGTGCCAACTTAGTGTGAATTCTCATCACGTTTATAATGAATACAGCTTTGCATGAAAACATTCTAAATGCTAAAATATACCATTTTAGATTTTATAAGAAAATGTTTACAGTACATTTTCTAGTCGATGTACTGTATAAGCTTTGTAACGGAGCAATCCCCAGATATTTCCTTTTAGAAACAAATTTGTGCAGTCAGCCTTACTAGTAAAGCAGAAATGATTTACTGTATATCGCACTTAAATGATTGATATTGCTTTGAGTCTTTCTGTAACAAAATGCACAATCACGTTGCTTTTCTTGTAAAAACAGAATATCAGTGTTCTGCAGAATTATTCTGGGAATGGTTTTTATTGACTGTAGCAGCTTTTTTTTAGGTTAAAAAGTGAACACTGAATCTGATGCGGCAAATTTTAATTTAAGTACCGTACCGTACGTACAGTACTTTGAGCATGGAGGAACTTAAAAATGGGTTTTGTCTCCCTTGTAGAGAAGACAGGTGAGTTAGTAAGTGAATGTTTGCCCCAGTTCAGAATGACTTATTGACGTGTGTTCTGGTCTTCAGGGCGCACCCTGCTGGAGAAGTTCTTCAAGCAGCAGGAGGATGCCCCCCCAGAGGAGGCAGAGAAGCTGTGCTCTCGGATCCTAGCCATGGGGCTGCTGCTGCCGTTCAGTGACTGCTTCCGGGAGCAGTATGGGGAAAGCACATCACAGGTCACCCCCAAGTTTGACGTGAGTACGCTCGGTGTTTCTTTAGGAACAAGTCCAGGCTTAGGGCATGCTGAAAAGGAAAGACGCGAGGTTTCGGCTGTGGAGCCTTCTTCGGGTGCGACAGGTGGAAATGTTCTTGTCTTTCTGTCAGTAGCGTCTTAAACGGCTGATATTTCTCCCGTGCAGAGCTATAGGCGCACCCAAGCTGCACAACCATAAAAACGCATTGCGAATGCAAGTTGGGCTCTGTGTGTACTTTGAGCCCGAGTCATCCACTGTTACTAGCTGACTGTGACTGGGATTCCCTGTGTGGTTGTGTAGGATTGGCACAGTGTAACTGAGGATGGCATGGGGAGGTTGGCAAGACCCATTCCAAACCTACCCTTAGGACACTGTGTGAATTGGTAAGAAAGACACTTTCTTGGTGAAACCAACTGCTGTGGCATCCTGAGTACCTGCAAGTTTGAAGGGACGATTGTGAAGGACATGCTACTTCAGTAGCTTAATAGGCATTAAGGTCCTCAGTGCATTTGGGGGGTTGATTGCACTTCCTTGTTTTTCTTGTGCAGAAGAGGAGTGAAAGAACCTTTGTAGTAGCACTCAACTCTCACCTTCTTTCCTTTCTGGGACACCAAGGTGCACAACTCTTGTTTACTTGTGCCAGTCCTCCTTCCTCACTGCAAATTCTGTTTATTCCTCGGTCATTAAACATTGTGTTGCACATGCCTGCCATCTGGTGGCAGTGTTATATAAGATTCAAGCATGAAAAGGGCTGGTATCAAAATATTCCTTGCTAGCCTGCAGAGTTTGAAAGGGGTCATGGCAGTTAGGTCCCTGTATTTAGACTCATGTTCATATCTCGCAACTCTCAAAAGTAAATTGTTTTATGAAGTGTAAGAAAACAGTGAAGCTCCAGTTAAACACCTTGAGGTTAAGTGTTAACCTCACCTACTTTGACTGCTTATGCAACAGCGAGCTGAGAAAATAAGCACTTTGTAGCACAGTAGGCTTTATTTCCTACAAAGATCATAACAATTGCAGAAAGATGAGTAAAGATGGAAAGAAATCTTTTTAGAGGACATTTTTTATTCTAAATGTGAGAACTATAATGGGTATTTGCCATTTTAAATAACAGTATTCTATACACAAAGTAATGCAGTATTTCTATGCACTTTTGAAAGGCCACATGATTCTGGGCCTGTTATGTCATGCTATATCGTTACCCTGTTTAATATGCAAATTTACATTTTTTTCAATCTATAATTAATATAAATTAACAAACAACTCTCCTCATTTTTTATTTCTTAAGCATCTTAGCATGGATGTTTGGATCTATAAAGAAAACATATATATATAAATAATTCTTGAAACTTTATTATCTGCATTACTATTAAAGGGGACGTCTGGTGTGAATCAAACGTAAGCCATACCAAACTATAGTTCCAAACGTGTTAGATCATTATTATTCAGTATAACAACCACATACTTTAAAAACCTATTATGCCACCTGATCTGTCTACCTCACACATTCTTCGCAATGCAGTTTCCTGAGCAATTAGAACATTTTAATAGGTAATAAGGCGTTAAAATTGTAATTTAATATTTTGTGGTGAATAGTCCAGGACATTACTGTAAAACAAAAAAACAAAAAACAAATGAGCTTTACCAACCTGTAGTTGGGAATATATTAAATCATTATTCCGCCTAATAACTATACAGGTATGCACTGAAAGGTTGTTTTTTTTTTGTGTCTCACTATCAATGTAAAAAATCAGTGTTCTTGGTGAACCCTCCTGAACAATGGAAAGATACCATCTGTATGTATGCGCACTTGTACTGATGTCATGCATGAATGCAGCTTCTGTAGATAACCTAAATGTCTATAAGGAAATACCATGTACTGTATAGGCAAAAGGATTCTCGTAATTCACTAGGTGATAATATTCCATTTCCACCTTGGGTCCTCCCCCCTTGATTATGAAATATAGTAACTTTACTGTAGGTACAAGTTATAGATTAAACTAATAGATTCTTAAACTTAATGACAGTTCTGCTCTTGAGTCTTGGCAGCATTGTTGAGCAAAATGTCTTGCCAAGTGCCAGGTTTGTGTGAATTTCCATCGTGTTAAACAGTAACAGTGGCTACCCAGTGTGCCCTTGATTGGTTCACACATGAAATGTGACCATGCAGAGGATCTGAGAGTGCAGGTGACGTGAAATGACATTGCTGCAGGTTGACCTCTAAATAATTGAACATCTCCTGTTTTTTCTGCGTATAGAATTGTTGTGGAGGAACTTGATCTGTCTGCAGGCTGGTCAACCAATATGCCTGAGAGATCTGCAAGTGCAGCTTTGGACACTCAGGGTAGGAAGAGAATGAGAGTGAGCAGATGAAAGATCAAGGAAATACACTTATAAACTGTCCATGGACATTTGATTTGTAGGAGTGCCTTCAGAGGTCCATTTCTTGTTAATGCGGTAGGATCCATCAATCGGTGTCCTATACTGTGTGTTGTCTAGGTTTGAAGCATAACGGGAAATTCCTGATGCTGCATATTCGCCTCACTTGCTTTCATCAGTGAAGAATGCATTCAGAAATGGGAGCATATTTGGATTCGTGCTGAATAGTTAAGATTTTCAGGAAAAATGAAGGTTATAATCTCCAAAGTGCTGGAGTTAAAAGCAAGCATCACGTAAATGTAACTGGAGCTGAACTGTACTGTAGTTATTGCAAAGGATTTACTTTTTTTTAACCTTGTGGGGTAAAACATTACCTCAAAACTTTCTTCACCTGAGGTGATCTGTTATATAGGAGAGGTTTGATAAATTGCGTAAAGCTGCTTGCGACGGAACATTTTGTCTTGACTGGAAACCTGGTGACTCTGGAAAAAGGAAGAGAACTGCTGATGCCTATTTTGTGCCAATGGAACACCCGAGCAGTATAGAGGCAAGAAACTGGTCACAAATTACACCTGCTTTTTCATGCACAGCACAAAATGCCCTGACCAAGGTACCAGAGGTTTTCAGGAAGCTGCTTGTGATAAGACGGGATCTGAAAAGTGATGACAGGGAGTGGTTCTGTGAAATAAGAGAATCAAGTCCAGATCTGGCTCTCCTGAAATTAAAGCCGACTGTACAGAAAAGATGCAGTGAATTTGAAACTTCAAAGGTTAGTGATTCCCACATTTTTTTTTTTACTTTTTCTACCTTCTAGATTTTTAGATAGAACAGCTTAGTAAAATATACTGATATGTACATGTTTCAAAACATCCATAATTCAAAGCTTTTTATGGGCTGTTTATTCAAGGCCTTAATTCCAGCCTTAGTGCTGGAGCATTTCAGTTCCTTAAACAAGCATGATTTAAGATGGGGAAAGTCTTGAATATTATTGATCAATGAAGAAAGTAATTTGTTCAGTTGAGAAAAGTAGTCCTTGAGGCTTGAATGGTGTTTCCATTTTATACCAAATCTAACAATGTCATGTGCCCAAAGAAACAGAAGCCATCGTAATAGGAAGATTAAAAGGATGCCCGTTTCAGGTGTTACCTGAGTTTTCTGGGTTCAGGGTTGAAAATGTCCTACTCTAAGCCATTAACTATTTATTAAGAGGAGAGTGTGCATTATGGCCATGCGTTGTCATTCACAATTTAGCTGAGGGAGTATCTCTGCATAAGAGAAGAAGTTATTACTTTTGACATTGGGCCATACTGTATAAACATGGAGGTTACAAAATGTGACTGGCAAAATTAAGACATTAAAAATGATAGGTCAGGTAACCGTCCAACAAGATGCAGCCAATTCTCTGGTGTGCACAGGGTTTGACACAGTGTGTGGAGGAAGAACATTTTTTATGGTGTTGTGCAGTCAAGGAGCTATCAGTCAACACTGTGGTTTTCACTCATACTTAATGATTATTGTAATACTGTAAGAATGTATCCATCTGTATTTGTTTGCTGTAGTACATTTAGCTGAGAACTTTCCTCTCCATGCCTGGTTGATCCCTCCCCACTTAGTGTGTTTTTTCACAACTACACTTTGTATGTTTTGTATGTGACACATGCCTGTGGATTGCATGTGACTGTTCATCCTTGAAAGGGAGAAAGTCGATTTATAATGTAAGCTATTAAGCAATTCATTTAAGTATTAACTTTCAGCTAAGTCTGCCACCTAAAAATGACCCAAGCTCCTTTGTACTGTAGATCTTTAGTAGTACAGTGGCTGGTCTGAGGTGTTAATTCCTAATTGCCCTTTAAACTGGAAGAAATATTTGATCATTTAAGTAGGAGAGGTTGTGATGTCTTTAGACACTTTTAAAGCTCCTGTTCCTTTTTGAACTCCACCTTATCTCCAGGCTGAAAATGTGAACAATGTTTGACAGCAATTGCATGGTTAGAAACGGGTGTTTGGGAGTGTGCAGACACCAAAGACATGCAGGTTTGCTGGTTTTAAAATTACACTATGGCTCAGTGAAAGGGTCTGCTGTCTGGACTGATCAGGGTCTTACTGTAAATCAGTTTTGTTGCAAAGGAATGGTTCATCAGAGTATAATCAAGCAGCACTCAGTGAGTCCTCCATTAGCTTGAACACAAGTGTGGGTGAGACTGACAGAGACATTGTACTAGGATGTTAATCAATTCAATACAGTATATAAAGAATCTGCCAGGCCGTCTGGTTTTTCACTAGCTGTTGCTAATATGTCTGTCAAACTCATCACACAGGTGCTTGATTGTGGAATATCTAGAGGGTGCAGCAGGCTAGTTCTTCACAATGTTAAAGTGTGTATAGAAACCTTAGTGCTTGTCAAAGCACTGTCCCTGTAACATTGGGAGTATCACATCTCAAGTTAGACTTTACCATCAATATCACCTTTCCAACACAGGTTGGGATTAATGGCCTTTGCCGTATTTCACAGCGGCTGCCGAAAGAATTACCTCGGTTTCACTGCCTGCTGTGCTCCCACAGCCCAGTTTTCGTCTTGTCTGTAATACACTGTAAAAAGTAACGAGTTCTGCTGTGCCACTTTTCATGCCTCTCCCGTCATTCGGTGAATTCCCCTGAAGTTTTTTTTTTTGGTTTTAAGTGTGAGACAGTTTCTGACCCTGTCCAAGTCTCTCCTTGTTTCACCCCATCTACCGCTACGTTTCCCGAATGAACAAAAAACGGTTCAGTTCCCTTCCCTCGGGACAAAGAGGAAATGTCTCCTGAAGTCTTTTTTTTTTTTCCCCCGCAGCAAGACCAGCTGTACACCTGGGCAGCTGTGAGTCAGCCGACACACTCTTTCGACCCCGTCGAGGGCCGCGTCCCGGGACGCATCCAGGCGCTATGGCCGCCGCCGAAATCGGGAGTGGAAGAGAAACCGGGGCTCAAGTACACAGAAGCGGGTACGTTCATTAGCATGTACACGTGCCACAGACCCGGTCTGTGTGCCACAGCTTTCTGGAATTAAAGCAGCTGGGGCCCTTCTTTCCTACTATAACAAATGTCCGTTTAAAGACCCGTTTCAGTCTGGTCTTGCTTTAGCTTGTAGGTTTTTTTTTTCATTCTTTAAAAAAATAAAATATATACTACAATATTCTGTTTTCTCCATTCTAAGATCTTTTATTCATTATAGACATCGTGTGCTTTCCATTTGTTGGTTTTAAAAATTGAATCCTTTTATTATGATAGTGATTCATTGTTTTAAGAGCTTTGTTTGAATGTGTCAATCTTTTAGATGTAACTGAAACATGGTACTAGATGTGAATTTCTTAACTGGATCTTTTTACATTACTTCATGCAAAAATACTTTTAGAGGATGATTATGGTGAGTAATTGTTCATATTGGTTGGATTTATTATTTACAGTTTTCAGAAGTGTGCTGCTTGCATCATAGGGTTTCTGCATGGGAAAAGTTTCGAGCCTTTTTTCATTTTCCTTAAAACTTTCCTCGGTTTGCTTGAGCTTCTGTTTATCTGTGCATATGCATTTAAGTGGTGCGGTTGCCTAGCAACGCCAAGCAAGTCACTGACTACCACAGCTCAGACACATTGACATTCCCAGCACACCCCCTGCGCCAACATTTCCAACGATTGTTTGAATAAAGCTTGGGGTTTCAGTGCTGATTTTGCCTGAAAACCCTAGGACTTAGAGCAATGGTGGAACCAGAATGTATTTGTTACAGTCAGCTTTAAAAACTGTATTATAAGTTATTATCCCTCATCTTCCCTAAGTTTCTTCCAAATAAAATTAAATTGGAATGCTGTGACAAGTAATCCATGATTACAGTTACTGTGTAAATCTCCATTTCCAATGATGGTATTGCTTAATAACAAGCAAGCTGTACCTGCAGTGCAAATGAAACCAAATAAAATGTATCTAAACAATAATAGAAATACGCATTGTCAAACAGCTCCAGACAGAAGAATATTTTTTAATTTTTCCAAAAGCTATTGGAATTGTATGGAAGGAGTTGAATGAATTCACTCTTCAATGGTCTTATTCATTTTTGATATTGGCAATAAATTGATCTTCCCTTTTTAAAATTGATTTGCATATGGATATACTAAAATATTGCCCGTAGGCAACTGTAATGATTGTACTTTTGAGTGTCTTGAAGCACTCTATGTGAAGACACTGTGGAATGAAAACTAATAGCATGAGGGTTGACAGACTAGAAGATACTTGTTTGTTCTTACCAATTGCTCAATTACACACAGGTGAGTCTTAAGCAAACAATTGAGGAATTTAGTGAGGGTTTTACCACTCTTGATAATTTTTTAAATATCATAAATTGTATTGCATGGGTAAAAGCATGTTTACCAGTGGGGAATGAACAATATTCTATACATTATTTTGTACACCACCTAACACTACTTGCATTATAACACTGAAATATTTTTTTTTCCAGTTTTAAGGCCTTACAAAATTGTGTTCCTTCCAATGGATGTCTAATTTTGTTCAATTACAAATAATGTAGACACCTCATAATTTGTAAATAAAATATAAATTAGTGTAGTTTGGGCATTCATGTTTTGATTAAAAATATTCATTTTAAAAAGTTTACAGTATACATTTGTAAACGAATAAAACAGGACAGTATTGGAAGGGGTTGAATCATTCTGCATGGCATTGTCTACAGTAGGTTTTACTTTGGGTTTCTTTGTGGTGCAAATTAAATTTGGTTCACCCTTGCTTTCCCTCGTTCTAGAGCATCAAGCAGTGATACTGGGACTGAAGAGACAACAAATGGAGGAAGTGGTTGAGCTTCAGGTGAGCTTTCCTGCCACAGTGTGTATTTAGTCACCAGCTACATCAGCAAATGTGCTGATGATGTGGTGAGCTCTCTGCTCTCCTCCCCACTAATACAGTAGCTGATGTGTGGTGAGCGTTCTGGCGCACTATGGCTGGTGTCGCATCATCTAGGTGCACATGCTGCACATTGGTGGTGGTGGAGGGGAGTCCTCATTACCTGTAAAGTGCTTTAAGTGGAGTGTTCAGAAAAGCGCTATATAAGTGTAAGCTATTATTATTATTATTATTATTTATACTGTAGTTGAACATGGTATTGATCTCTGAAAGATGGGCTGCGATGTTGATTTTTTTTGATGGGGGTTCAGGGTTAGACATGTGCAAACTGTTATATAATCCACCCTGGAAGGTAAAAGTTGTATGACATGACCTGCTTTTGTAATAAAGCGGAGAACACCGAATCCAGTTGCATTACCAAAAGAAAAGGCGCTGCTGCAGTCTCTGCAGATGTGCCAGTGATATTGTGGTGACTTGGAATGGTGCTGGTGAAATAATGGTGGTAAAAAGGAATCTAGGTTATCACCAAAGGGGTTGCATGCCAGATCTAGCTTTTTGTTTTTCACTAACCATGGCTTGGAGTGATCTGTCTGGCACAGCATCACAAAAAACAAAATCCAAATGTCTACGGGGAAACAAATTCTCCTCATCAAGCCACCTTTCCATTTGCGCATTGATATCAGATTTTTTATTAAGCATGTTATTTATTTACAAATATCTAAAATATCTATTGCATACATCCTGCACATGTTTTGGTATAATTATAACAAGTGTTTTTGTAATGTGGTATGTTCTGCTTAGAACATGTAGCCTTTTCTCTGTTAGGATTTGTTGCTTCATTGTACTGTTTACATTACAGTTCTTTTCTGGACTTGAAGGAACCAAAACATCTGGAAAACAAATGTTTAGGTTTTCTGTGGTTGTGCTGTCTGCTGCACCTTTTAAACTACATTTCAAAGAAGGACGTGCATACTTTAGGAACTAAACAAATGCATTACATTTTTCAGAAATTACTTTTGTGTGGTAAAGGGGAAAAATAAAATGTGATATAGCTTATGAATTTGACATTGTTCTGTAGCCTTTAGTTAATATTGATCTTGTGTGGTCTTTGGACATTTTTAATATCTTAGAATATGTATAATACTCAAAAAGGTTCAACGATAGAGTTCTTAATCACTTGTCTAAATGATTTCTTTAAATGGAAACTAGCTAATGTTTAGCAAATCCCATAGGCAGTTTCACAACAAAGAATCTTATTAAATGTGTATTGAACAGTTATTGGTTTGAATAAGCATTTGGCTACTACAAAGAAAATTTGAAAATTAGTAGGCTTAGTTTTATGGTGGAATCGATTATTCATCAAAATGATTGATTTTTATACAGTACATGCAGTTAATAGGATACTTGTTTTAAGAGTTTGTGTTATACTTTAATTAAGGTGGTTAATTAAAAACCTTCCCATTCAACTAAAGATTGACCCACATGTATTGTATTTGTATTTTACCTCAAAATGAGTTCAGCATCCTTCACTCTAGACATTTTTAAAGCGGTAATGTTTCTGGTGAATACCAGTAGGGGTCAGCAACAGCTTTAAAACTGCATTGTTAAAGTACACTCAGGCTAGCAAATTGCAAATCACATTTGGTTTAATGATGAATGCAGGTGGCCTGGTTAAACTATTTTTATGTTACTTAAATTACACTTAGAGTTCCACAGATAACATACAGATTACTTAGTTATATTAATTGCACCTCTATTAGTCAAAAAGATTACATTATAGCAGTTGGGGAAGTAAAAATACTTGAAATATTTAACTAAATAAAAAAGGTTTTAACGTTTTTGCATGAGCTTGACTGCAAAGCTATATATGGTAGCAGCTGTGAGGAGAGGATGAGAAAATAAATCTGTTTTAAATCCAGTTAAAACCAGCTGATTATTGTGGTAGCCAGGAATACTCAGCCTTTTCTAAACGATGGTTTTCATTTTAACTATTTAGTTTTACTAATGTGATCCAGTTCATTAATTTAAAATGTGGTTCTTAGCTTGCCTTATATTGATGTCATTTTCTTGTCTGAGGTATGCATTACAATTTTTAGTTACCGCTTTCCAAATTTCACTTGGAAATTAGCTTAGTGAAATAAAAATGTAACCTTTTTAAACTAGCATATGTATTATTAAACTTGAATATGTATTAAGGCAAAATAGTTTAATTCCAAATGCCTACACCATAAAATAATTGTAATAAAATCTGCAGTATATCAATATACCGTACATTCAGTTTGATTAAAGTGATAGCCAAAGCAGAAAAGCAAAATGAACGTTGTCTTGACTTGTAAAAAATCGTGACAGTTTAAAAGGGTGATAGTATCCATTGTATACAGTATATACATGATTTGGTAGAATTATTACTAGTGTTTTTTAATTGGTGCATTACAAAATGTCCTCTATTACAGTGTCTGCTTCAGTGGGGAATAAATGTTATGCTAGAGGAATTTTTAAAAGATTGCAAAATGTCATCATTACTGTTGCTAGAAAAAAAAACTAATAAAATTGAATGATTGCTTTTTGAAAACAACAGATGCCAGTCAGAGGTTGTTAAATTCCACAGAATTCAACGTAGTAAACAGCATTGTTTAATTTAAGTAAAAATTAATGTGAATTTGATTCAACAGGAATTTCCTTGTAAATATTTTCCAGACACCGTAGTAAATATAATTTGTTTAGTTTTTCAGCATAGGCGCAGTTGGAAAGAGGTCTTAATTTCCTAGCGTCTCTAGGTAACACATTTGGGGGAAAGAGATCTGGCTTTGGATCTCTCTGCCCATATATGCAATCAAAATAAATAGGGTAATTAAATATTTAAATTACAACAGACATCTGTATTTTGATGTGAAGAAAATGGCCATACTGTTTTAATTGAATAAAAAAAGTGATTACAGACATTCTAGGTTGCCTTGGCGCAATTTAAGGAGCTTTTCTCTTTGATAGTTTTTATTAATTCCTTTTGCAATGTAGGAGATGCAGCTGGAATTAGTAAAAATGTGTTTTGCTATACTTAAATATTCAATGGAAAAATAACCCCATCTCCAGCCACACGGCAAATTTAAAGGATACCTATTGATACTGTATACTTTTCAGGCAGAAATGCAGTATCAGGTACATGCATCAAATGTGATATGTGACTGTTTGTGTACAAAAGGAAACTGTGTTTTAGCGTGACAGTCTGTAATAGCATCCTAAATGTCTTCCAGCCAAAGTGAAGACAGATTTTATTGCGATTGTAACCATGCATCCAGGGTATATGCATTGAACTTGTGCCACTGCATTCATTGTCTGGGCTCTTTGAAGCTTTTGATGCTTAATCGTTGTAGGCCAATACTTAAGGGGAATCTCAGTTTCTCCGAAAGGAGCCAAATCTTAAACCCAGGAGTCTAGACTTTTGAACTACTTTTGACTTATCCACTGCAGCTTTGTAACCAAATAGCTCTCAGTGGTATTTCTTAGTTGAGATGCAGTGTGCTATATTTATTTGGTGTTTAATGATTTTTTAGTGTTCGGGAAAATGTAGAAACTTGTGTAGCTTCATTAGTTCTACAGTATACACATTTTTCAGGTGATCATTTTTCATTCAAAAGTATTCATACTTGCAAACTTGTTTTTTTGTTCCAAAATGTATCCCACAGTTGCTTTAAAATTAAGTCTTGATGGTGTTTCATCAGATCTTGCATTGTATGGAGTCGGTTGCTTTTGAAAACCTGACAAAGTTACAGTACATCATTTAATCACATGTTTTTTTTTTTGTAGGAGGAATCTGTGCTGAAAACGGTTAAACTCAAGGAGGAGCATGTGAACGTTATTCAACAGCTGGAGCAGACCATTGAGGATTTAAGGACCAAAATAGCAGAGCTGGAAAAACAATATACACCACTGGAGAGGGATATTTGCACTAAAGATCAGGAGTGTGGAAGTGGAGAGGTAGCCTTTAAAGACTTCTGTGATGTTGACCTTCAAACTGAAGAACAGATCATGCTTAGCAGCTTAGAAGCAAAATCAGTACAGACTTCACCAGTGGAAGAAAGCTTTAAATTCAAAGTGCCTTTACAGGATGGAATGTCATCCTCTTCTTCAGTACTTCCCAATGGGACTGACTCAGTTCCCCAACTACAGCTTGGAACTGACACCCCAACATATCACTCAGAGATCTCCTTAGTTCTGTCTCCAAAAACCACACAGGGGTTTGTCTGTATGTGCCAACAGCAGCAACAGCCTTCACTGCCTCCTGCATCAGGACAAAGTGGGATCCAGGCCTATCCTGCTCCCCTTCCTGGCCTACCCATCCCTCCTCCTCCCCCCCCTCCTCCTCCTCCTCCTCCCCCCCCTCCTCCTCCTCCTCCCTTGCCTGGTGTCTCAGTGCCCCCCCCCCCGCCCTTACCGGGCTGTGCCGTACCTCCGCCGCCACCCCCCCCGCCCTTACCGGGCTGTGCCGTACCTCCGCCCCCACCCCCCCCGCCCTTACCGGGCTGTGCCGTACCTCCGCCCCCACCCCCTCCGCCCTTACCGGGCTGTGCCGTACCTCCGCCCCCACCCCCTCCGCCATTGCCAGGTGCCCCTGTACCTCCTCCTCCCCCACCTCCTTTACCTGGCTCTTGCCCTCCACCTCCGCCTCCCTTACCTGGAATGATGCCCCCTTCAGCTCCAGGCAGTGCAGGGCCCCCACCCCCTCCTCCACCCTTCGGCTCTCTCCCCCCGCCTCTGCCAGCTGGTTTGTTTGCCCTGGGAATGGCTCAGGACAGAGGGTCCAGGAAGACCATGATTGAACCTCCGCGCCCCATGAAGCCATTGTATTGGACGAGGATTCAGCTGCACGCAAGAAAGTAATTTCTTTCACGCACTTCTGTAGAAAACAATGTGAGAATGTGCTTTCTCTGCTTGCACATGTTCAGGCTTTTGAATCAACCAGTATGCAATCTGTTTGCCTCCACTACCTGGAGTAGATCACTGCTAAGCCTTTTCAGTTGAATGTTGCATACCATTTGTAATATGAAAAGTATTCTTAAAACCCAAAACCTCCATGATCATTTTGGAGAGCACTCAAAATCTGCCCATTGAAACGAACAGCGTGTGCCAGTCTGGCACTAACGTTTGATAGTTTTGTTTTTAGTTTTTACTGTACACAGTGCATTGCTCAAAAAAGATAATGATGGAAATTGAATTGTGGTATTTGTTTAATTTAAGAATGAAATGAAATGTACAATATCTGTGAGAGCTGTTTGAGTAGCTCCAACATTTTAGTTTGAGGTGTGTGCATTATGGTACTGAATACACCTGCTTTTGTGTAATACCTGCATTATTGTAGAACAAGGATTAAGGATGAAGACTTATCTTTATTGTTCTTGTTCTTTATTTTCTAAGGGAATCAAGTGGACCTTTGGTGTGGGAGAAGATTGAGGAGCCATCTGTAGACTTTAATGAGTTTGTTGAGTTATTTTCTAAAACAGCTGTTAAGGAGAAGAAGAAGCCTTTATCAGATACCTACACAAAATCCAAGGCGAAGCAGGTGAGTTAATTTTTTTATGGACATTGATTTACCAAAAAGTCTTATGATGTACAACTTACTTCCTAATAAAAACTATATATTATGAAGTTATTGGTAAATATTGAATTTGCAATATTTGCACTGTTAGCATTTCAGACTGCAGATTATTGCATGGGGCTTTTCTGTAAGACAGCCATTGTACTATTTACAATTTCCATAGTAGATACTATATTAATTTTTCTATTTTTAAAGAGAAATGTTGACTATATTAAGGTAGTCTGTTGGAGGGTGCAAAGAATGTTCTTCTGTGCTAATGACAATATAAACTGGACCAGTAAAGTGTATGTGGATATACAGTATTGCTACATAAAACCAGGTGACATCCACATGAATACAGTACATAAACTGATATTGGTTTTGAGTGCTTTAATTGGGTGATTTGCATTGCATTAATCTTTTGCCAAAATGTTACCATTGAAGTGAAAAGAGTAATTTAAAACAGTCTTGTATAGCTAAAGTAACCAAAAAGATCATTTACAAAAAGTTGCTCTAGCCTTGAAGTTATGAAGGAAATCTTATCCTTTTATGTTCTTGGTATAGTTAAAAATCTTTTAGAGACCTATATAAATAATAAATATTTTATACATATTTTGTCCTTTATTTGCATTGTCAAAGAATATCATATTAAGGAATCCAATTGTTTTTCTGTACTTTTAACAGTCCTTGTGTAGAATTATTCCACAATAAAAAATACTAATTATAGTCAAACAGAAGTTAACTTCAAAAATAAAACTAAAATCAATTTACAAAATTGAGCATGGAATAGAACACATCTTCCAGTTCTTGAGAGGGCATAAAAGAGTAAGTACTGTATGAAACTCTAATGAGCAGATAAGTGTGTATGACAAAAGTAAGGTCCACAAAATGCTGTTTTTTTCTAAAATCTCAAAACTCAACCAGGTTCTGTAAATGTCTGTGCAGTGCTTTATTTTTTTTTTTAGCCAACTGACTAATTTCATTGGGCTGGCTGGGTAGTTCATGACTAAAGAATCTGGAAAAGGAGTTTCCAGAATCACTGAAACATTTTTTAGGTATTTCTTGCTTGTATAACTAGTGATATCAGGATGTGATATATGGGCAGCAATTATGTGGCATGAGGTCTAGTATTATTGCTCCTGAAAACAATAAAATGTGGAGCCAGTCACTGGTGTGGTAAGTAAACAGTGGTTACACAGAGGCAGATGGTGGCTGTGGTAACAATATTGTAGATGTGGCTTCAAATAACTGCTTTTGCTTTTTCTGCAATGACAAATCATTACAACATGTAGGTTTTGGCTATTTTTCTGAAAATCTGAAATGTAATGGTTAAAGTGGGACAATGAACAGAAAGTCTGATATTGATATTGTTATGAAACTGGTGAAAATCAGACATTGACCAAGCGGTTTAGTCAATCAGTGAAATAATTATTCATAACCCCCAACTTGTAAGCAGTTTCTATACAGTACCTGAGTGGCTTGTATACTGTAATTAGAGGAATGTGAAGTCTTTATTCTTTGGCATAGCTTTGTTGAGAGGAGTAATAATCCAGGCACACTTTGTTAAAACAAATATTTATTATAATGACAAAACACACAAACTACACTACATACAACACACAAGTTACTTTATACACAGTATTTACAGACAAGGTGTTTCAGAGGCCTAACATTCTGGTCACCCAGAAAACCCCAGACTGCTACTAAGCACTAAACTTTCAATATGCCTACAAAGGCCACACAAGAGATGATTTGCCTTCTAACTAAATAAAAAGTAACCTGCAGTTAAATCTCTCTCTCTGCACCCTGGATGCCACAAAATAAATGGAGCCTATATCCCTGTCCATAAAATGCACCTTAAACAGGAAAGACGTTTCTAACTGAGGTACCAGAAAACCCAGTTCCCTAAAAACACAGAATAGCATGCTCTCTCTGACAGGGTTCAGATACTGAGGGTCCAGTCAGGTTTTGTTTGGATGACCAAGAAGTAGGGGCTCTCGACTGGCGCAAGCTCCAAGTCCCCTTTCATCTGGACTCCTCTCTCTTTTCTCTGCTCTCATTTCTTCTTCCTCCTGCCTCTCCTCCTTTCTCTCTTCTGTGCTCTTAAGGTGAACTTCTGCCTTCTGCCCTGCTCCTTTGCAATCATTAATCCACAGCTTGCCTAGGCATATTAAGATAAACTTTACTATTGTTTCTACTCAAGGGACCCCTTGGACCGCAGCAAACATCCTCTCTGCTTTGAAGTTAGAAGTACTTAGTCTTCCCAGTGTCACAAACGTTATCTAAAATCTTAAGAGACGCTTCTCAAGTCACCCAAAGCTGTAACAATATTTTACCTTAACTCCATCACTGTCTTGAAATGTTATGAAAATTTTACAGAAATTTATCATTCAGGTTAACACAAATTCACCCTAGGAGGTAAAGATGTCTAGTTGATTTAAGATAAAGGCTTTGAGGGCCTTACTTCTGCAATACAAAGTAATTTCATGGAGTTACATAATATAAATGAGCTTCCACAACCTGAACTAGTTAATTCATAAAGCTACTGCTTGCTAGGATTGATCAGTTTTCCTTTCCCGGAAAAGAGGTTTCATTGTCAGATAAGTAGAGTTTAAGAAAGCATGTAATATTGAAGAAACATGTTGAAGATGGAGGTTATCATTATGTTCCTGCAGCTCTTAAAATTTTCATTAAGAATAATGTACTGCTTCTGAATAGAAATTAAACGAGATGGATTGTTAAACTGTCCTGTTACCATTGCTGAGATTTCTCTCAGTTTACTTGTCACTATTAATACCATGTAAGCTGTCTCAATACAGCTCTGTTCCAGATGTACAGCTGTATTTTCCTTGTGGGAATCCACAGCTGTTAAACAGCTTTAGCATATTCCTTAGTTAACATAAAACAAAATACTGATTTTAAGTTGATTTGGATGTATTTTGTAATGCTGCCATTTGTGGTTCATTAATCATTTTTGCTTTCTTTGAGCTTGTTTCTTAGTGTAACCTGTTCATTCATTTTGTTTAGGAATGTTAATGTCAGTTTGCTTCATTTTTGCTGTGCTCTGCCATCCTAAGTTTCTCATCTTGTGCTAAATATCCCTGAAGCTTTAAGATTCCATTGAGGTTTATATCCGAACATAAAGGTTACAAGCAAGATCAGTGACATAAGAGAGATCACAAGCAGCTACAGTACCAATCATCTGGCCTTTTTGGTTAATGGTATGCAATTGATACAAGTATCTCATTCAGATGTTTTTTAAAGAACGTTCAGGTATCAGCTTCAATATTGTGTCTGGAGTTCTCCAAACGCCCTTTGTGAAAGATGTTGCTTCCTATTCTGTCTTAAACCCACTTCCAACAAAACTTTGGTTTCATTTGTTTCATCTACTTTGTCAGCTCCTTTAAAGATTTTGAATATTTGAAACAAGTCCCCTCACACACCCCTTTGTTGAAGGCTAACATGTCTATGTAACATGCATACCTTTTAGGGCCAAAAATGACCCATGTTGTCTATTGGACTGGTTCAGTTACAGCTATGCTCTATTAAAAAAAATGGCAAACAAACATGTACATGATAGTCTATTAATGCATTGTGTAATTTTAACAAGTCTTAAATTCTATACTTTACAGTGAATCCTAGCATTCTTTTGGCTTCTATAGCTTTACCACATAACCTGGTTAAATGGGGATTACGCAAAAATAAACTAAATTTTCAAAAGCTGCATCCTCTAGCTTAGTTACTCCCATGGTGTATTTTAATGTCTGTTCATGTTTCCTGAATGTTGGACCATGTTAAGGTGATATTTTGGGTTTCATAATACCTTTTCTGTTTGTGTTTATTACCCTATTTTTGTGTTGTCTGCAAAATCTTCAGTTTTGCTGACTGTACTGGAACTTACTATATCTTCATTATTTCTCCCAGCCCAGTCTTATGTTCAGTTGTAATCGTTTTCTCTCCATTAACCTCTTCTCACTTCGAAATAAGCATTTCACAATACACATAATGCATTGCTTGCATTTGCAAAGGAATTATTTTGACAGTAGAACCCAGGTACGCTGTGTTATGCCAGCCTGAGAGAACAGGATGCTGGAGGTGGGAAGGCCTATTCTTTTGAACAGTGTGATGAGATTTTTAATAATCGAGGAGGCAGGCTTTTATAGAGAATTCATCTTCATTCATTGGCAGTTATGTAATTAGCTCATTGTGTGGTCACTTAATCGGTTTCACATTTCTTTTCTACACAACAGGTGAGTCTTCAAAACAATTATATTAATCTCGTATAAACACTCCTGATAAAGCTTTTTCAGGTTGAAATAGTTTTGGGTTTAATAGGATCTTGAAAAATAATAAATTAATAAACCTTGATTGAAAATTAAATACCTAATACCGGCATGTGGTTTTCATAAGCTTTTTATGCCATGTATCTTTTCAAAATATAATGTGCATTTTCTTGTTTTTAATCCATGTTGTAATAAGGGACAAGTGACATGTTTTAAAACCCACTTACCTGTGCGTGCACTCGGAGAACACCAGAATCTTTTCTTTCCAGGTAATGGTTTTGAGAGATTAAATACATTTTTGAAATGGTGTATTGGGCACCTTGATGTCACACAATCGTTCGTGTTTGTATGAGTGGAGGAGTGGCAGGGTTTCTAGATATTTCAATTTATGGTCTGATAGTAAATTCAGCAGTGTGACAAATGTTGCTTCAGAGTGGTTAAAAAGTGATCATATGATTTCAATTTTAAAACAAGGAAACAGCCCTGTAAAAGTGGCATGCTCTCATTTTTCTTAAGAAGTGACATATAATTGAAGTGAAAAAGCTTACATCTAGTTTTTGATTCCCCCTCCCCTACTTGAAATTTGCTCTCCACTTCTCCTGGAAAAGTTTCTTCAAAGAAATATTGTTTGGCTCGTCGTGTTAGAACACAGACCAACTCTGGAGAATACGGTGCTTTGAGGATGTAGACTCACAGCAGGAT